TCATTAAACGCTTGTCTGCATTTTTAAGTCCGTCTCCTCCACTTGACAGTAAGTTTCATGAGGACAGGGGCTTGTAAGTGCATTGTAAGCATCTAACAAATATCCGTTGATTAAATAAATGAATTACTCTGTAAACCTCCCTCCATTGCTGACACCCCACTGTTGGGGGTCAGAGCTGGGGTCAGCAGTGGGAATGAGATCAGGGATGTCTGTGGGGCATAATTTTAGGATGAAAGCCAGTAATTTCACACTTTGACATACCCACTTTTATGTGGCCACGAAAAAATAATTGGGTTTTGGTGCCAGAACTCCTGTGGCCAGGAGCTACCATGCAGAGCCTAGGAGGCACTGGAACTGAATGGCTCAGGATGGCTACAGAGCACAGGACCCAGGGCTGGCCACTGGCGTAGAGCAAGCCTGGCTACTGCTGGAGGTGCCTATATGAGACTGTAGTTATCACCCTACACATCATGGGCAGCCTGGAGAAGCCTGGCCCAGGAGGAAGATTTCCACGCCTTCCCACCAACCTGACCTGGCTCCATCCGGCTGAGGAGCTGCTTCCCAGGCTGCAGACAGCAGCAGTGTTCCAGACAGATTGGCTTTCCACATGTGTGCCAAATTCACCCCACCCTGGCCCAGAACCGCCCAGGTGAACAGACTTTTTTTTTGAGACAGAGTCTCTGTTGCCCAGGCTGGAGTGCAGTGGCGCGATCATGGCTCACTTCAGCATCAACTGCAAAGGCTCAAGCGATTCTTCTCCCTCAGCCTCCCTTGTAGCTGGGACCACAGGCATATGCTGCCACACCCAGCCTTTTTTTTTTTGAGATGGAGTTTCACTCTTGTTGCCCAGGCTGGAGTGCAATGGCGCTATCTTGACTCAGCGCAACCTCCACCTCCTGGGTTCAAGCAGTTCTCCTGTCTCAGCCTCCTGAGTACCTGGGATTACAGGCACGCGCCACCATGCCCAGCTAATTTTGTATTTTTAGTAGAGACGGGGTTTCTCCATGTTGGTCTTGAACTCTTGACCTCAGCTGATCTGCCCACCTCAGCCTCCCAAAGTACTGGGATTACAGGTGTGAGCCACCACACCTGACTGCTTCCCTCCCCCCCTTCCCCGGCCCCCCCCCCCAGAGCAGGGCTTCACTATGTTGGCCAGGCTGGTCTCAAACTCCTGAGCTCAAGTCATTCTCCCACATCAGCCTCTCAAAGTACTAGAATTATAGGCGTGAGCCACCATGCCTGGCCAAGACATTTTAACACAAATTTTGTTAGCAGGCATGGTGGCACCCATATGCCCAGCTACTTGGGAGGCTAAGGCAGAAGGATTACTTGAACCTGGACAGTTGAGGCAGCAGTGAGCCATGATCACGCCGCACACTCCAGCCTGGGTGACGGCAAGACTCTGTCTCAAAAAACAAACAAAACAGACTTCTGGTTTTTACTTATTAACTTCGCTAATTTTTTTTTTTTTTTTCTGAGACAGAATCTTGCCCCGTCACCCAGGCTGGAGTGATCTTGGCTCACTGCAACCTCTACCTCCTGGGTTCAAGCAATTGTGCTGCCTCAGCCTGCTAAGTAGCAGGGATTACAGGCACGTGCCACCACACCTGATTTTTTGTATCTTTAGTAGAAACAGTGTTTCATCATGCTGGCCAGGCTGGTCTCAAACTCCGGACCTCGTGATCTGCCCACCTCGGCCTCTTAAAGTGCTAGGATTACAGGCGTGAGCCACCTTGCCTGCCGACTTCACTAATATTAAAGCTGAGGTTACTAACTCAGCCTCCACAACCTTTAACACACCACCTCTCACAAGCACTTCAAGTGGCATTATGGATTTAGGGCTTGATAATATGGAATAAAAGACACTGCTAGTACTGATTGTGCCTATTTTTATCAGTGGCTTGTTAATTATTTCTGGTTTTATTAGTGATTTTTATTTATGCAGAGTGGTTAGCATGAAACTGTCAGTCATTTCGTTTCTGTTTCTTGCCACTTGCAACACCCCATCTTCCTGGGAAGAACAAAGCTTTAGGCTTGACTGTGAACAGCCACTAAGCGGCTTGGCCAAGGTCCTGCCATTTCTCTCATGCTCAGCAGGGGGCAGCAGACCAGGACAGTTCAGAGTATGGAGTGAAACCCAGGTCCCTGTCCATACTCCACCCATGGATTTTCCTGGGCTTGAGCAAGCCCTTTGACTCTCTGAGCCCTCCATGTTCTCAGAGTGACTCGAGGATTCACTGGGTGCTGTATGAGAAGTGGGTGGCCCAGACGGGGACACAAAAGAAGCCTCAATCAGTGTTTGTGGTTTGATTAAGTGGGCAAAATAGAAACACCTCACTTCTCCAGTTTCCTTTTCAGTAAAATGAGAGGCACTCGGGCTGACCTCCTAGGATTTGGACTTGCTGTGATTTCATGATGGACATTCCCCTTTTCTGGGCCAGATCCCTCAGGCTGGAATCCAGGCAGCTTTGTCCCCTTTTGACATTTTCTTGTTCAGAAGGTTCTGGAAAGCCAACAGATTGAGTTTGTGACAAAAATTGACATTAACTGGCTGAGTGTAGTGGCTCACAACTGTAATCCCAAGAGGCTGGGACAGGAGGATCACTGGAGCCCAGGAGTTTGAGACTAGCTTGGGCAACACAGTGAGACCCCATCTGTACAAAAAACTTTTTTTTTTTTTTTTTTTTTTTTTTGAGATGGAGTCTCACTTTGTCACCTAGGCTGGAGTGCAGTGATGCGATCTGCAACCACCACCCAGGTTCAAGCAGGCCTCTTGCCTCAGCCTCAAGTAGCTGGGATTATAGCTGCCACCACACCTGGCTGATTTTTATATTTTTAGTAGAGACGGGGTTTCACCATATTGGCCAGGCTGGTCTTGAATTCCTGACCTCAAGTGATCTGCCCACCTTGCCCTCCCTAAGTGCTGTATGAGCCACAGTGCCTGGCCTTCTACAAAAAACTTTTAAAAAAAATTAGCCAGGTTTGGTGGGGCGTGCCTCTAGTCCCAGATACTCAGGAGGCTGAAGCAGGAGGATCACCTGAGCCCAGGAGTTCAAGGCTGCAGTGAGCCGTGATCACGCCACTGCACTCAGCCTGGGCGACGACAGAGCAAGACCTGTCTTTGGGGGAGAAAAATAGAAAAGAAAGAAAATGACATTACCGAAGTCCAGTGAGGTTATGGTTGGAATTCCATCTTTGACACTACCTAGCTGGGTGACCTTAAGCCAGTGGTCCTCCCACAGCCTACAACATCAGCATCACCTGGGAACTTGTTAGAGAGGCAAACTCTTGGGCTGTGCCCCAGCCCCACTAAATGACAGTTCTGGGCGTGGAGCCCTCCAGGTGGTTGGGATGCCCCCTGCTTTGAGAACCATGGCCTCAGGCAATTCGTGGAGCTCTTTGAACCGGAGTTCCCCCCACCTGGAAAACAGGTAAGGATCCTGCCCACCTGCTGCCACTGTTGTGGGGAGGATTAGAAGAGAGGATGCACTGCAGAGTGCCCACTGCCCGGCATAGGGAGGCCCCTCTTGCAGGAGCTCCCCCAGGAAACTTGCAAGTTTCTCTTGTGTTTTCCCAGCACTTGGAGATATTGAACGTTGATGCTTTTTATTGCTTTCTCCCCTTCCTCATTTTATGGTTAGTGATTTAATGGCTTATTTGCTTTCTTGTCTGTTCTCTCATTTTACATTTAGTGATTTTTTTTTTTACTTTTCTCTTTTGCAGATAAAGACTATTTCCTGATTGTGATTCAGAATCCAACCGAATAGGCCACTCTCCTGACTCCCTGTGTCATTCCTTAATTTAATGCCCCCCAAGAATGTTAATGTCGATCATGTTAGCAGACTAGCACGTGACAGTCACCTTGGAGCCCACTCAGACCAATCCAGTGACCATGTGTGGGCTGGTGGCTCTTCCTCCCCAACCAAAGGAACCCCTGTGCTGTGCCGGCCTTCCCCAGAGCTCCGGGAGGGCCCTCTCGCCTCACTTCCAGGTTTTGGAGAAAGAACTTGCGAGAAGCCCATACCCAGCTTCCTTCTGACCTTCAGTTCATTTTGTTGCCCTTGGAGAAGGCTGTTTTTCTTTAAAAATAACCAAAATGCTTACCCTGCTGTTATGTCTTTAAACACTAGATTGAAAAGGTCTCTCTTTTCCTGTGTAATCACACGTCAGTGGCCTGGTTGCCTCCTCCAGCGATGGGGGAGATCACGTTCATGGCCTCCGAGAGGCCTGCTTCTTGTGCCTGTGGCCATACTTACTGTAGCTTGGTGTGTAATTGGTGCCCTGGTTTCTGGGCCTCTTGGCCCTAGCCCCCCTTTTACCATTTCCCACTGCTGCCAGTGTTGAAAGGTTTTTTTCCTACTATGCTGCACTGGAGAAAGAAAGAGAGCAGTGCTTCCTGAGGACCCGGAATGCACCTGGTGTGTTATATACAGTAGCTCTCACCTTATGGTACCCTCTGTAGACTGGAGCCACCTCAGACATGAGGCCCTGGGGTCTGAAGCGGCTTGCCTCTGCCCTCATAGCCAGGACATGGGTCTCGGACTCAGCCCCATTCTTCCCACACTACCTGCCCCTGAAATCCTAAAGGGCCCCCATTCACCCAAATAAGCCCATCCTAGGCAGACCTCTGCCCCGCAGACTGGGGGTACAGGGGTCCTCTCACCAAGAGATTCCCAGAATTCACCTGCACTCAGGCTCCCACCTACCTCTTGCCCAGCCACACTCTTCTTTTTTCCCTCAGAAAGCACATGTATTTAATTCTATTAGGGTTTTTCTTTTTGTCTTCTGTTTCCTGTTACACAGGAAAAAGACTCCACACTGTAGCATGAGCCTGGAAATCCCCATCATTGTCCTTCTCCCTGCCCCAGAAGGCACCACTGAGTTCTTCCATCTAGCGATACTTCCCAGATTTTCCAGTGAAGCTTCCTTAAGGCTATCAGAGGAGTAAAATAATGTACTCTTGGGAGCTTAGGGGTGTAGTTTACAAGGGCTTGGCAAAATTTCTTCAAAATCTACTTTAATGAAAGATCATAGGAATTTTCCATTCTATAATATATCCGTGATTGTCTTAATATAAAAGTAATCCTTTCAAATAGTTTTCCCCGAATCCTCAAGTAATGTTGTCAGGGAAACACTGGTTTACCCTGTCCCTGTGGGCCTAGGAAGCGCCCCCTGAGAGTGGATGACTTCGGACCCTGCGTGGTGATTATCTCCTAGGTTTCATGCTTCAAACAAAAGTGGGCTGTGGCCAGCAGCATCTTCCTTGTGTTCTCAGAAGCTGGGATCCGGGTCTGAGGCTCCTCTGTCTTGCTTGAGTTTCTCTAAGTATAATGCGGAAGGAGGTCAGAGGAGGAGAGGTCACGTTTCTGGGATCAGGGGGTGGGTCTGTCCCTGGCGGGAGGTGTTCTGGCTCCAGAGCAAGTGTTCGGCACAGGGCTGGGGGCCTGTCCCTTCCACCTTCCCTTAGTTCCCCTACTACTCCCTGTTGTTTGCCTTAAAGTTCCCCATCCTAAAAGCATTCCATCAAGGTCCTGGGGAAAGCGTCTTAGGAAAATGAAGAGTCTGCCTCCCAGTCCCTTGAGCACCAGGATTTTGTACATCAGGAGCCCACCATGTGCATTAGGAGTTTGTAATGGAGCAAGGCAAGCATAATTCCCTGGACTCATCTATAAAAATTTGGCCTGGCATGGTGGTTCCTTCTTGTAATGTAATCCCAGCACTTTGAGAGGCCAAGGTGGATCGGTTGCTTGAGCCCAGGAGTTCAAGACCAGCCTGGGCAACATGGCAAAACCTCGTCTCCACCAAAAATGTGAAAATTAACTGGGTACCTGTAGTCCCAGCCACTGGGGAGCCTGAGGTGGGAGGATTGCTTGAGGTTGAGGCTGCAGTGTGGCACTGAGTGCCACTGCACTCCACCTAGGTGACAGTGAGAACCTGTCTCAAAAAAAAATATGAAAAGTTTATGGCCACAGAGAAGGTTTACAGGAAAAAAAAAAAAGTTAAAATTCATATTTTTCTTTTTTAAGACAGAGGCTGTCGTCCAGGCTGGGGTGTAGTGGTGCAGCCTCAGCTCACTGCAACCTCCACCTCCTGGGTCCAAGTGATTCTTCTGCCTTAGGCTTCAGCCTCCTGAGTAACTGGGACTGCAGGCGCCCACCACCACACCTGGGTACTTTTTTTTTTTTTTTTTTTGAGACAGAGTCTCACTTTGTCACCCAGGCTGGGGTGCAGTGGCACAATCTCAGCTCACTACAGTCTCCACCTCCTGGGTTCAAGTGATTCTCCTGCCTCGCCTCCTGAGTAGCTGGGACTACAGGTGCCCACCACCACACCTGTCTAATTTTTGTATTTTCAGTAGAGATGGGGTTTCACCACGTTGGCCAGCATGGTCTTAATCTTTTTACCTCGTGATCCACCTGCCCTTGGCCTCTCAAAGTGCTGGGATTTTGGGTGTGAGCCACCTCGCCCAGGCTTAATTTTTGTGTTTTTTGTAGAGATGGGGTTTCACTATGTTGGCCAGGCTGGTCTCAAACTCCTGGCCTCAGGTGATCTTCCTGCCTCGGCCTCTCAAAGTGCTGGGATTACAGGCATGAACCACCGCGCCTGGCCAAAATTCAGATGTTTAAGAATCTAAATAATGGTATTGCATATAAACAACTCCAGTGTTTCTGAACTCAGAGGTAGCGTGTATGCTGTCAAGGTTGGAAACTGACAACTGTCCTAGGCCTGGAAGGAAAAGCACATGGGTTCTGGGTTCAGAGGGACATTTGCCAATACAGCAAAGGCATGCCTGCATCCAGTATTTTTTTTTTTTTAGATGGAATCTCTTCCCCAGGCTGGAGTGCAGTGGCTCAATCTTGGCCCACTGCAACCACCTCCGCCTCCCAGGTTCAAGGGATTCTCCTGCTTCAGCCTCCTGAGTAGCTGAGACTACCGGCATGTGCCACCATGCCCAGCTAATTTTTTTTTTTTTTTTTTTTTTTTTTTTTTTGAGACGGAGTTTTGCTCTTGTTCCCCAGACTGGAGTGCAATGGCATGATCTCGGCTCACTGCAACCTCTGCCTCCTGGGTTCAGGCAATTCTCCTGCCTCAGCCTCCTGAGTAGCTGGGACTACAGGCGTGTACCACCATGACCAGCTAATTTTTTGTATTTTTAGTAGAGACAGGGTTTCACCATGTTGACCAGGATGGTCTCGATCTGTTGACCTCGTGATCCACCCTCCTTGGCCTCTCAAAGTGCTGGGATTACAGGCTTGAGCCACCGTGCCCGGCTAATTTTTGTATTTTTAGTAAAGATGGGGTTTCACCATATTGGCCAGGCTGGTCTCAAACTTCTGACCTCCTGATCTGCTTGCCTAGGCCTCCCGAAGTGCTGGGATTACAGGCGAGAGCCACTGTGCTTCAAACCTATAGATAATTGAAATAATTGTGTATCTTCCATCTCAATTCTACAGTTAACCATTTTGCTATATTTCGGTATCACATAACTATTCTTCCATCTATCTTACTTTTTATGCATTTCAAGGTATATTGCAGGCGTTACCTTCCGCTAAGCGTTTCTACGTGTATATCACTAACTAGTTTTCTGTTTTTGAAGGATGGGTAAGATTTACATAGAGTAAAATGCACAAATCTTTAAAGTGACAAATGTGACCCCTGAGTAACCTCACAGCCCTTTCAGGAAAGTGGCTGCTGCTTCTTCGCAGTCGGCCCAGCCCACTCCCCAGAGGCCACCCCGTTCTCATTTCCTCCAAGTACGATTTCTGCCCTCTAAGGTACAGCTCTTGCCTGGGCTCCGTGAGCAGGGCCTGCATCTCAGGGAGGTGGTTGCTTCTCAGGAGGTGCTGAAGCTGCTGTCTCCCTTCAGCGTTCATGCCTCGCCTCAGCCCTGGCCACAGCTCCCTGGAATTCGGATCCTCCTCTGCAAGCTGGTACTGCCTTTTCTCCAGAAATTAAAAATGTTCCAAGGATTCTAGGTTTTTTCGCCTTTCGTATGTTTGGCTCTGAGACACTGCACGTTGGCACATTTTTCATTGAGAATCCTAAAAGCCGTCTTTCCATACCAAATTCCAGAAAAAAAAAAATGAGAAATGGAGGTCTCAGATTCCATCATCACAACAGGTAGAAATCACTAAGTCACCAAATCCATCAAATTAGTAAGCACGCCCCAGTGTATGTGAACTTACGCTGATCAATTGTGTGTTCAGTTGAAATGACAACACAATTACAGAACGTGTTCAAAATGCTGGTCCTGCTGTGGCAAACAAGCTTAATCCAATCAGAAGCACCTTGATTTGGTCTCCCACGTCTAACTTTACTCTTTAGGGCGCGTTCTACCCCATCCCTAGGTGAGGTGTGGGCAAGCCCTGCCCGGGGCAGATGAAGCCCCTTGCCCACCACAGGAACAACTCCTCTGAGCCCCATTTGGAGAGAGAGGCCACCCCTTCCACCATGGCCCGCACGGAACCTCGCTCTCTTCAAGGGGAGAGCAGCTTGTATTTGGCCTTGGTTTTATTTGCCACTTGGTGCTGTCACCTCTTTTGCCCAAGTTGCTGAGGGGCGTGAGGTGGGGAGTGGAAGTTCCTCATTCACCGACACTGCTGTGAGCGGGCTTCTGGCTCCCGAGCCCGGGGGGTGCATTTTCATGAGCTTTCACAGGCATGCCCCCGCTCTCTTCTGTTGACTGAAGGTGAAGCAAAAACCCAGCGCCTTCCTCTGTGGGTGGTAAGATTCATAGCCTCTCGGTGGCCTCTAAAAATTATCCTCGAACTTCCAGCTCCTTTATAGATCATCCTTTCTAGACCGTATTGCCAGCAGAAGCGTGAGCTCACTTGGGACTAGCTGGTGTTGCATCCAGGCTGCTGTTGGTCCAGGGACGATGCCTTGGGGGTCTCAGCAGAAATAATTCAACTTCGACCCTCTAGTTCACAAGAAATATGTTGTTAGTTGCTTTCCCTAAAAAAGACTGGGTGATCTGTAAGTAAGCAGCTATGTTTAAAAAAAAAAAAAAGACTAGGTGAAATAGGGAATTTCATAATTTTTTTTTTTTTTTTTTTTTTTTGAGACAGAGTCTTACTCTGTCACCCAGGCTGGAGTAGGGTGATGTGATCTTGGCTCACTGCAACACCTGCCTACCAGGTTCAAGCCATTCTCCTGCCTCAGCCTCCCAAGTAGCTGGGATTACAGGCGTGCACCACCATACCTGGGTAATTTTTAAAATATTTTTAGTAGAGATGGTGTTTCACTGTTGCCCAGGCTGGGCTCCAATTCCTGGGCTCAAGCAATCCTCCCGCCTCAGCCTCACCAAGTGCTGGGATTACAGGTGTGAGCCACCATGTCTGGCATACTTGATTTTTAAATACTACAAGTGTTTGGGTAAAAATTAAATGTTAAAAGTTTGCAATAAACTAACAATACGCTACAGCATGATAAGCCAGGGCTTTCCAGCCCTTTTCTAATAAAGTAACTAAACAATGAGCAGCATTATCCAGAAGTCCAGAGTGAATCTGCCAGAGTCAACCAAAGAGAACCCCCTGCAACATGAAACTCGCTAGAAATGTACACACGTTTGCATCCCAGGCAGAATGTGGAGCTGCGTGGAGTCAGGAGCCCAGGCAGCCAGGTGAGAACTGATGGTAATCAGTTTGGGCAAGAGCGGTTTCATGGGGCCAGAAGGAGGGATTCTGAAGAGACAGCACCAGGTCTTGCTGGGGAGGGCTGGAAAGTAAGGAAATGAGACATCAAGGGAGACTCTTGGTGCCTGCTTGGCAACCAGGTGCTGCCACTCACTCAGAGGAGGCTCACTGGGGACCTTTGGTGGGGAAAGAGCACCTGCAATTTGGAAATGGCCTGCTTAACCTGAGCCTGTCAGATACCCATGTGTATAGTAAGAATGTCCAACAGACTTGAATACCCTATGCTGCCAGTCCTTGCTAGACAAAAGGATATGGAGCTATCAGCCTGTTACTGGCATTTAAGCCAAGGAGGCTGGGTGCGGTGGGTCACACCTGCAATCCCAGCACTCTGGGAGGCCAAGGCGGGAGATTCGCTTGAGCCCAGGGGTTCAAGACTAGTCTGGGTAACATGGTGAAACCCCATCTCTCCTAAAAATACAAAAAACAGCTGGTTGTGTTGTCGAGTGCCTGTAGTCCCAGCTACTCAGGAGGCTGAGATGGGAGGATCGCTTGAGCCTGCCTAGTCAACGCTGCACTGTGCCACCACTCCAGCCTAGTTGACAGAGTGACACCGCCTCACAAAAAAAAAAAAAAAAAAAAAAAAAAAAGCTTCTGGAGCCCCAGTCATCCAGGTGGCAACTGATGGAGAATGGGGATGGTGAAGAATGTACCTTTTCCCTTTAAGGCGGTTTCCCAAGAGTCCCATAGAGCACTTTCCACTTAGGCCTAATTGACTGAGGTTCAGCCAGCTGCCACTCCTGACTACGGAAGCCAGGTGCATGGCCGCACTGAGACACCCAGGGCTTCTTCGAAGGAAGACTGGGACAGCGACTACTGAAGTCGGCTGTCAGCTGCTTCTGCCATAAAAGCCACGAGGAGAAAGGACTTTGAGGATGGGTGAGTCATCAGAACATGTTTTTCTGGTGAGGGGAGATAGTAAGGGGCCTCAGGGAGCAAGTCCATGGGGCATGAGGAAGGCTGGCGTCCTGGCAGTGGGAGGACTGGCCTTAGAACAGGGACAGCAATTCCACTCAGCATGAGGGGAGCCAGGGAGAGGGCCAGCAGGCAGGGCAAGGTCTCTGTTGGAGTGAAGGCAGCAAAAGAAGAGGGGAGAGGAGAACACAGACTTCCCCGGGGGTGCGGGTGGGGAGTTCGACTGAGTTCGGCAGCCGGCCCTTCTGCAGTGTCTCTTTCAGCCCGGGGGTGCAGCAGTCACCCCGCAGCTGGACTTTGCCAGGTTAGTTAGCAGAAGAAAGGGAGTTAGGACTTTTGGAAGTAATTATGGTGGCTGTGGAGTCTGTGCTGGATGAGGAAGTGAAGGGACTGGATAAAGAGTGGCAGTGGAACTCTTTTATTTTTATTTTTAAAATGTTTTCCTTGGCATGGCGGGGTGGCTGACGCCTGTAATCCCAGCACTTTGGGAAGCCGAGGCTGGCAGATCACAAGGTCAAGAGATCAAGACCATCTTGGCCAATTTGGTAAAACCCATTCTCACTAAAAATACAAAAAACAGCTGAGTGTTGTGGTGCGTGCCTGTATTCCCAGCTACTCAGGAGGGTGAGGCAGGACAATCTCTTGAACCTGGGAGACGGAGATTGAAGTGAGCCGAGACCACACCACTGCACTGCACTCCAGCCTGGCAACGGGGCAAGACTCTATCTCAAAAAGAAAAAAAAGTGTTCCTACGCAATGCTTTGTTGCTGCTGCTGTTGTTAAAATAGAGATAGGGGCTGGCTATGTTACTGATAGGGTTTGGCTCTGCCCCACCCAAACTCTCGTCTTGAATTGTAATTCCCATAATCCCCACGTGTCAAGGGAGAGACCAGGTGGAGGTGATTGAATCATGGGGGTGGTTTCCCCCATGCTATTCTCTTGGTAGTGAGTTCTCATGAGAGCTGATGGTTTTGTAAGTGTTTGGAAGTTCCTCCTCTGTTCATTCTCTCCTGACGCCTAGGGAAGAAGGTGTCTGCTTCCCCTTCACCTTCTGCCAGCATTATGAGTTTCCTGAGGCCTCCCCAGCCATGCGGAATTGTGTGTCATTAAACTTTTTCTTTATAAATTGCCCAGTCTCGGCAGTTCTTTCTAGCAGTGTGAGAATGGACTAACATAGTTGCCCAGGCTAATCTTGAGCTCCTGAGCTCAAGGGATTCTCCTGCCTCGGCCTCCCTAAGTGCTGGGATTGCAGGTGTGAGCCACCGCACCTGGCCAGAATGAAACTTTGGAAGGGGCTGATTGTTCAGAAAGGCAGGGATTAGTGTGCCCAGCCTTGCTTCTGCAGGGGAGGCATACTGGTGAGGTGCGATCTAGGGCAGACAAGAGGGATGTGTTCCCAGAGCAGTGACAGTGGAGAGGGGTGAGAGGTGACAGATGGGCTGGAGAGGACTGAGGACTGCACTGGTGGGTGAGGGGGAGTCCAGCTGGGCCTGGGCCAGGTGATGGATGAGAAGGCAGGGCCGATGAGCTGGAGGCACAGGCTTGGGAAGAGATGACTTCCTTTGGATGTGTTGAGAATGGAGGCAGCCTTTGTTCCAGAGACAGAGCCTGGACCTGACACCTGGAAGCCAAGCTGGAGGTGGGGTTTGTAAGTCATTCATAGTGGAGGCACTGGTGGGTGTGGAGAGAACCCAGGACCTCATGAGTGGCTACGGAGAGATGAGCAGCTGGAGGCTGCAAAGGCCTCAGGGAGCCAACCTCCCTCCCCAGGTGACCAGCCCGCTCCAAGGGAGGAGGAGGGAGAAGGGTGGCAGCCCTGGCCCTCTCACTCTGGGAGGCTGGGTTAGAGCTTGAGAGGCCTGAGCATGCCCCTGGCTCAAGAGGAGGATGGGGACATGAGTAAGGCCTGCAGGAAAGGAATGGCCAGGTCTGAGGCCCTGCATGGGCAGTGGGGTTGTCCTTGGCCTCCACTTTCCCAGTGAGAGCAGAGGATCTGTGGGGAGTGACATGGGGTGGTGTGAGCTCAAGCCCTGGGAAACCCTGAGTGGGTCTCAGTCCCTATTTTTTTGGAGTGTTTCACTTTGCTTTTTTTTTTTTGAGATGGAGTCTCGCTCTGTTTCCCAGGCTGGAGTATAGTGGCACAATCTTAGCTCACTGTAACCTCTGCCACCTGGGTTCAAGTGATTTTCATGCCTCAGCCTCCCAAGTAGCTGGGATTACAGGTGCCCACCACTACACTCAGCTAATTTTTGTATTTTTAGTAGAGACAGGGTTTCATGTTGGCCAGGCTGATCTTGAACTCCTGACCTCAAGTGATCCCCCCACCTCAGCCTCCCAAATTGCTGGGATTACAGGCGTGAGCCACCGTGCCTGGCCCCACTTTGTTTTTTTGGTTGCAGTTTTGTTATTTGTTTTTGATAGGGAGTCTCAGTCTCTAACCAAGGCTGGAGTGCAGTGGTACATCTCGGCTCACTGCAACCTCCGCCTCCCGGGTTCAAGTGATTTTCCTACTTCAGCCTCTCAAGTAGCTGGGATTACAGTTAAGCACCACCACACCCAGCTAATTTTTGTATTTTTAGTAGGGATGGGGTTTTGCCATGTTGGCCAGGCTGGTCTTGAACTCTTGACCTCAGGTGATCCAACCATGTTGGCCTTCCAAAGTGCTGGGATTACAGGTGTGAGCCACAATGCTGGGCCCCCACTTTGAGTCTGTAAACGGAAACAGCCAATCCTTCCTCGGAACTAATAACCCTAACTCAGACTTCAGCCCACCTAGGGCCTCCCAATGTGAGGCCCATTTTATAAGTGAGTTCATCGCTTTAAACGAGGTACAGGCAGTGCTGATGCAGGGCAGGCTCTCAGCTTCACTCAGGAAGGAATTCCAGAGCCAGCTGGTGGTAGAAGAAACAGCTTTATTGAGGGAGCGGAGGGGTCACAGCTTTGTGACTGCTCCACCCCCACTACCCCTCATCCCCACCCCGCCATGGGCAGTGTGCTGAGAATAGCAGCTCAGGGGCAGATGTGTAGCTGTATTTATAACCCGTTTTTTTTTTTTTTATTTTGTGAAATGGAGTCTCACTCTATCGCCCAGGCTGGAGTGCAGTGGTGTAATCTCCACTCACGGCAACCTCTGCCACCCAGGTTCAAGCAATTCTCCTGCCTCAGCCTCCCGAGTAGCTGGGATTACAAGTGCCTGCCACCGTGCCCAGCTAATTTTTGTATTTTTAGTAGAGACAGGGTTTCACCATCTTGGCTAGGCTGGTCTTGAACTTCTGACCTTGTGATCCCTGCAGCCAGCCTATAACCCACTTTTAATGACGTGCTAATTCAGGGGGTAGTTTATTCAGAAATAGCTAGAAAATGGCAGTAAGTTCTGAGCATTGTCATGGACAGAGGTGGTAACATCCAGGTGTTGTCATGGCACTGGTGGGCATGTCTTATGGAGAGGTGATTTTGGTACTTCTGGTTCAGCCAGTCTTCAGTCTGGTCCAGAGTCAGTCCCTCCCACCCCACTCCCCACCGCCCCCCCCCACTCCCCCCCACCTCCTCCTGCCCACCCACCTCCGTGCTAAGGCTGGTCCTGCTGATTGTAGGCCCTGATTCCCCCAGGACTCCATGGCTACTGGAGTCGCTCACTGATCCTCTACCTTGGAGTTCTGACATTGTCTCAGTTTTGCAGATGAAGATGAAATTCTTCAGTTCTTCATATGGGGAAGCAGCTGTCCCAGGTCCGTCTGGCTCACCTGCCGTCATGTAAAGGAGCTCAGGGCATATGATCTCCCCACACTCACGCACTCATTAGTGGCCACCCAGGCCAGGGTTATTCTGTCCCTGTGCAAGGCCAGCCAAGGCCAGCTCTCCACTTTTTCTCAGGCCCATGAGTCCAAGTCAGAAGCCACAGAACAGCAGGAATGAGAGGTGCGAGCAGAGCGGCAGAGGGTGTGCTTGTGGCTGAGACATCCCCTGAGCAGAAACAATTTCCCCAACCTGCTGATCCTCTTAGTACCTGGCAGCAGTGCATGGCAGAGACTATGTTCCCGCACAGGGTCTAGAGGGGGAGATATGCCTTCTAGATGGCCAGTGGCACAGAGAGATGACTGTGGGGAACTCGGAGGGGGTGTCACTTATTCAAAGAGCCATGTGCTGCACCCTATGTCCTGGGATATATCAGGAACCAAGGATATGAAAAACTCTGTCCTTAAGGGGCTTGCATTTTAGTGAGAAGGGAAAATAACATTTTATAATAAGCATTAAATGTGAAACCATAATGGGATACCACTACACACCCACCAACATGGCAAAAACATGACCACCACCAAGTGCTGGCAAGGAGGCAGGGCACCTGGAACTCCTGTATGTCACTAATGGGGGTGCAAAAGGGAACAGCACTGGGGAAAGGTCTGGTAACTCCTTAAAAACACACCTGTCCCCAAAGCCAGCAATTCCACTGCTATTTGTCCAAGTGAAACAAAAAAACACAAAGACTGTTACAGCTGTGTTCAAAGCAGTTTTCTTCACAGTCACCAAAAACTGGAAACAGCCCAGGCATCCATCAATAGAAAAACAAACTGTACATCCCTCCATGGGAACCTACTTGATAGTTTAAAGAAACGGCCTACTCAGGCACAGTGGTGCACACTTGTAATCCCAGCACTTTGGGAGGCCAAGGTGGGTGGATCACGAGATCAGGAGTTTGAGACCAGCCTGGCCAACATAATGAAACCCTGTCTTTACTAAAAATTCCCCCCCACAAAAAAAAAAATTAACTGGGCACGGTGGCATGCTCCTGTAATCCCAGCTATTAGGGAGGCTGAGGCAGAAGAATCCCTTGAACCTGGAAGGTGGAGGTTAGAGTGAGCTAAGATTGTGCCACTACACTCCAGCCTGGGTGACAGTGAGATTCCATCACAAAAGAAAAAAGAAATGGCCTACTGATACCCGCAACAACATGGGTAAGCCTCAAAAACCTTATGTTGAATTAAACCAGAGACATAAGAATACATGCTGTGTGATTTCATCTATAAGAATTTCTAGCTGGGCGTGGTGGCTCAAGTCTGTAATCCAAGCACCTTGGAGGCCAAGGCGGGCGAATCACCTGAGGTTGGGAGTTCAAGACCAGCCTGACCAACATGGTGAAACCCCGTCTAAAAAAAAAAAAAGAATTTTTAGACCAGGCCAGCATATGGTGAGAAATGGGAATGGTGCCTGCCTCCGTGGAGAGTGCAGGTAGACTGGGGAGGCCCAAGGAACCTTCCAAGGGGAAGGTCGTGTTCTTTTTTTTTTTATTGAGTCGGAGTCTCGCTATGTCACCCAGGCTGGAGTGCAGTGGTGAGATTTCGACACACTGCAACCTCTGCCTTCGGGGTTCAAGCCATTCTCCTGCCTCAGCCTCCCAAGTACCTGGGACTACAGGAGCCTAGCCGCCATACCCAGCTAATTTTTTGTATTTTTAGTAGAGACGGGGTTTCACCATGTTGGCCAGGCTGGTCCTGAACTCCTGACCTCAGGTGGTTTGCTAACCCTGGCCTCCCAAAGTATTGGGATTACAGGCGTCAGCCACCTCACCCGGCCATATTCTCTATCTTGAAAGGAGTTTGGGTCACATTAGTGTGTGTACTTCTCAGACTCACTAAAGAATACACTTGACACCTATGCCACTGGGCCCAGCTGAGCCAACTGTTAGTGGCAGAATGTAACTGGGTATAAGGGGGACCATTATTTCAAGTGTTTGAACACTTTCATAATAAAATGCCCAGAGAAATTATATAGCATACTGGAAGGCCTCCCTGATAGGACACTTGAACCAAAACTCAAGGTGAGGGTGAGGGACACAGAGATCCCAGGGAAGGATGTCCCAGGAAAAGACCCTGGGGCAGAAGCCTGCCAGGGATTCCTGGAGTAGTCAGGAGGCTGGAGGAGTAGTTGGGAGCCAGATCCCACAGCCTCCTGGGCCACCATCAGCCCCTGGCTCTTTTTCTAAGAGGGGCGTGTGGGGACAAGAGAGCTATGGTCACTGTCCCGAGAGTAGACTGAAAGAGGCAAAGCCAGGACAGGAAAACCAGCAAAAAGACAATAGCAGCAGTTCTGCAAGATGAGGTGGGGGCTGTGGCCCTAGTGGCAGAGGCGGCGGCAGTGAGCTGTGATCAGATTCTGGAGAATCTTGAAGGTGGACCCGACAGGATTTGAGGATGGATTGGAAGTGGAGCAGGAGTGGTGGAAGAGGGTGGTAAAGGAAAGAAAGGTGTTAAGAATGACTCTGGGCCAGGCGCGGTGGCTCACACCTATAATCCCAGCACTTTGGGAGGCCGAGGTGGGTGGATCATGAGGTCAAGAGACCGAGACCATCCCGGTCAACATGGTGAAACCCTGTTTCTACTAAAAACAAAAAAATTAGCTGGGCATCGTGGCACAGCCTGTAGTCCCAGCTACTCGGGAGGCTGAGGCAAGAGAATTGCTTGAACCCAGAGGCAGAGGTTGCGGTGAGCTGTGATCATGGCCATTACACTCCAGCCTGGGTAGTAAGAGTGAAACTCTGTCTCAAAAAAAAAAAAGGAAAAAAGAATGACTCTGAGGAAGCCAGGTAGGGGGTGGGGGAGGGGGGGGCTCAGGCCTGTAATTCCAGCACTTTGGGAGCCTGAGGCGGGCAGATCGCCTGAGGTCAGGAGTTTGAGACCAGCCTGGCCGACATGGTGAAACCCCGTCTCTACTAAAAATCCAAAAATTAGCCAGGTGAGGTGGCATGCACCTGTAATCCTAGTTACTCAGGAGGCTAAGGCAGGAAAATCGCTTGAACCCGGGATGTGGAGGTTGCAGTGAGCTGTGATCCCACCACTTCATTTCCTGCTTGGGAGAGCGAAACTCCGTCTCAAAAACGACTGAGGTTTTTGGCCTGAAAAAGGGAGACAAACAATTACAGCTGGAGCCCATTTTAGGGGAAGACGATAGGCTTGTTGTACACAGGTCAAGTTTGAGATGTCTGTTTTTCATTCAAGCAGGCACATGAAGCAGAGGCCAGGCCACTGGATTCAGGGGCAATGGGGAAGGGGAGGGACTGCAGGCAGGGCAAAGCTCAGAGCTTGGGACTTGGGGGCTCCCCTCCTCCATCCTAGCCTCAGCTCAGGGCTGGGTCTGACAAAAGACAGGTGTAATCACATCCCAGGGCCATGGCTGACTCAGCTCTTTGGCTGCTCTCTATGAGCCTAGTCACATTTGAGGATATACTGGGAGTGCCTGTGGCACTGAGTGTGTGAGGTTCATCCAGTTTGACACACAGCTCTGGATCAAGACTCAGCAAACTAAGGCCCTCAGCAACGTCTGTCTGTTTTAGCAAATAAAGTTTTATCCAGATGCAGCCAAACCCATTCGGGTTGGCTAAGGCCACTATAATAGAACCAAGTGGTCACTGAAGACCACATGGCCTGCAAAGCCTAAAATATTTGCCATCCGGCCCTTTAAGGGCAGTGTTCATTGACTCCTCTCCATCTTTCATTAAATAGCATGTGGTTCTGTTACAGGAACACACAGCAAGCTACTGAATAAGACATTTAGGTGGTTCCCAACTTTTTGCTATTATGAAAATGTTACAATAAGCATTCTTGCCCATGTTTCCCTGGGCTCCTGGGCATGCACACAGTAGAATTCCTGGTCTGTAGGAAGGACATAGGCATCTTCATTTGGGTCAATTGTGCCAAATTGCTCTCCAATGTCACTGAGGTCACTTACACTCCCAGCAGCAGTGGAAAGAGCCCATAGATTCACGTTCCTCTGAACTTACTACCTAGCAGGTGTCCTCAGACGTCATTAGTTACCAGTCTTTCACTGTGTGTAGATTCTCTTGGATTTCCTGGCTGGGAATGATAGATTTGCTCCTTTTTTGGTCTTGGTGCTCTGGATACAATACAATATTGAATTGTGTTTACAGGATATTTGTTCCTGGCTTTAAAAAGAATAGCTCATGTTCATCACATAGAATGGTGTTTTACCTTTAAGTACATGTTTATTGTAGGTTGGGTTTTCTCTTTTTTTTGACTAAGTCTCGCTCTCCCACCAGGCTACAATGCAGTGGCACAATATTGACTCACTGCAACCTCCACCTCCTGGGTTCAAGTGATTCTCCTGCCTCAGCATTTGAGTAGTTGGGATTACAGGTGTGTGCTACCATGCCCAGCTAATTTTTGTATTTTTAGTAGAGACAAGGTTTTATCATGTTGGCCAGGATAGTCTCGATCTCTTGACCTTGTGTTCTGCCTGCCTTGGCCTCACAAAGTGCTGGGATTACAGGTGTCAGCCACCGTGCCCCACCTGTTTTGTTGTTTTTGAGACAGGGTCTTGCTCTGTCACCCAGGCTGGAGTGCAGTGACACAATCTCAGCTCACTACAACCTCCACCTCCCTGGTTCAAGTGATTCTCATGCCTTAGCCTCCCAAGTAGCTGGGATTACAGGTGTGTGCTACCACACCCAGCTAATTTTTTTGTATTTCTTGTAGAGACCGAGTTTCACTATGTTGCCCAGGCTGGTCTACAACTCCTGGGCTCAAGTGATCTGCCTGCCTTGGCCTCCCAAAGTGCTGTGATTACAGGTGTGAGCCACCATACCTGGCCTAGTTTTTGTTTTTTTTTTTCCCATTATTTTTTGTTGTTTTTCTGAGACAAGGCCTCACTCTGTCACTCAAATGATCCTCCCACTTCAGCTTCCCAAGCAGTTGGGACTATAGGTGCATGCCACCAAAGCCAGCTAATTTTCTTTTATTTTTTTGAGACAGAGTCTTACTCTTGTCACATAGGCTGGAGTGCAACGGCATGATCTTGGCTCACTCCAACCTCTGCCTCCAGGATTCAAGCAATTCTTGTGCCTCAGCCTCCCAAGTAGCTGAAATTACAGGCACATGCCACCATGCCTAGCTAACTTTTGTATTTTTAGTAGAGGAGGGGTTTCACCATGTTGGCCAGGCTGGTCTCAAACTCCTGACCTCAGGTGATCCACCTGCCTTGGACTCCCAAAGTGCTGGAATTATACTATTACTCCTTTTTAAATTTCTTTAACACTCTGTTCATTGCTTTTCTATGTTATCTAAGTAATAAATCTATGTATTTAAGACTATAAATCTGATTTTTTTTTTTTTTGAAGAATTGGGTCTTATTTTGTCACCCAGGTTGGAATGCAGAGGTGTATTCACAGCTCACTGCAGCCTTGAACTCTTGGGCTCAAGCAATTCTCCAGTCCGGGCCTTCGGTTGGTTGGTTTATTAGTTACTCAGAGGTCTCATGTCTCCCACTAAGGTGGAGAACTTGGCAATTTCTCCTTGTATTCTTAATCTATTTTCAGCAACCTCCCCTTTTTTTTGAGATGGAAAAAATAAAAATCTGATTTTTTAAAAAAAGAAATCGGTCTTATTTTGTCACCTAGGCAGCAATGCAGAGGTGCACTCACAGCTCACTGCACCCCTGAATTCTTGGGCTCAAGCAATTCTCCAGTCTGGGCCTCCCAAAGTGCTGGGATTTCAGGTATGTCACCCAGGTTGGAGGGTAGCGGCACAATCTCGACTCACTGCAACCTCCACATAGCAGATTCAAGCAATTCTCCTGCCTCAGCCACCTAAGTAGCTGGATGACAGGCATGCACCACCACATCCAGCTAATTTTTGTATTTTTAGTAGAGACAGGGTTTTGCCATGTTGGCCAGCCTGGTCTTGAACTCCTGGCCTCAAGTTATCTGCCCACCTTGGTCTCCCAAAGTCCTGGGATTACAGGCATGAGTCACCATGCCTAGCCTATTTTCAGCCTTTAAAAAAAAAAAAAAAAAAGAAACCCTGGAACATGGAAGTTCAAAACTTTTCTCTCTCCATAGAGTTCCTCCTTTCATTTCCTGGTGATCCTCTTTATCCCCAGTGTCTTCTGCCTGAAAGCCTATTTTGTCTGAGTTTTCTATAGGTACATCTTTTGGTTAGTCTTTCTCTAGCATACCTTTTTCCATCTTAACTTTTTAATTTTTAATTTAATTTTTGAGACCGAGTCTTGCTCTGTTGCTCAGGCTGCAATGCAGTGACACAATCTTGGCTCACTGCAGCCTCCACCTCCGGGGTTCAAGCGATTCTTTTGCCTCAGCCTCCTGAGTAGCCGGGATTATAGGTGTGCACCACCATGCCTGTCTAATTTTTGTATTTTTAGTAGAGACGAGGTTTCACCATGTTGGTCAGGCTAGTCTCCAACTCCTGACCTAGTGATCAGCCTGCCTCGACCTCCCAAAGAGCTGGGCTTACAGGCGTGAGCCGCTGTACCCAGCCGCCATCTTTTTACTTTTGGTGCCCTTAGGTTTTAAATGTCCTCTTGTAAACAGCATAGAGCTGCATTTTATTTTTTCTTGGCCGATCTGGTAATCTGTGTTTTGAGAAATGAAGGTAAACCACATTTTCTGCCTCGGGTTTTGTACCATTTATTTACCATCCCTTTTACTTTGCTTTACTTTGCTATTAGTTTTAATACCCATCACCACCCTTTTCTCGGCATTGGCAGTTACAGTTCCGTTTCTACTCTTTTGATGATCCCTCTTAAATATCTGAAATACTCACCTAACTTTACAAAGCCTAACAATGCTCAGTCTCTTTACCCTTGTCTCAAACAAATCTAACTTCCGAGAACACCTTAACTCTGCCCTCTCAGTCTTCCAAGTTCTTGCGTCTCATACATCTTGTTTCTGTAGCCCGCAAATTAATCATTATTCATGTTGCATATTACATGCTTGTTTAGATTTACTCACGTTTACCAATTTGCTCACCATTTTTCCATCTAATTTCTTCCTTTTCGGTTCCATGTGCTTGTTACTGAAGTACATTCTTTAAAAATTATTTCAGCTGCCACACTCAGTGGCTCACGCCTGTAATCCAGCACTTTGGGAGGCGGAGACGGATGGATCACGAGGTCAGGAGATCAAAACTATCCTGGGCAACGTGGTGAAACCCCGTCTCTACTAAAAATACAAAATTAGCTGGGTGTGGTGTCACGTACCTGTAGTCCTAGCTACTCAGGAGGCTGAGGCAGGAGAAATCGCTTGAACCCGGGAAGTGGAGGTTGCAGTGAGCTGCGATTGCGCCAATGCACTCCAGCCTGGGCGACAGAACGACTCAGTCCCACCCCCCAAAAATAATTTCAGCAACAGTCTTTCGTGTAAGCTCTTTGTCACCACCTATCTTTACTTCTTAACTCTTAAATCATGGATCAACACCTCGTTGACAGCATTTTTCCTGTCAACGAGGTGTAAAGCGTTACATTTTACTCTAGCCTTCTACGTTTGCTGCTGAGAAGTTTGTTATTGGTGTAATTTTTAAAATCCATCATCCTTGGTCGCTTTTAAAATCGCATAGTCTTTGGAGTTCTGCAGATTCACTAGCGTCCAGATGTTCATCTCCGGTGTTTGCATTCCACCCGATTTTAAGAATCACTTCTGGCAGCTCTCCTTCAGGAACTGCCTCTGCAGGGAGCTCTGCCCCGGCCTGTGAGATCTCCCGGCATTGCCATCCGTGGCTTTTTCCTTTTTATTCTCCATCACCTGTCTCTCTGGTGAGCTGCTTCCGATCAGCCTCCAGGTCCGCGCACTCTTTTCCGCTGTCCTACACCTCATCCTCCGAGACCTGAATTTCCATGGCTCTACTTGTCAATTCTAGAATTCCTTTGCAAACCTGGGCCTTCTTTTGTGATGTCTTGCTTGATCCTGTGCCTCCTGCACCTTCTCCCGTCTCTCGTCCTAAGCCCCTAGAAGGCGCCGGCTGTTTCCCACGGTGCCCAGAATCGCGCCAGGCCTGGCACAGACTCGGTGAGGGCGCGGGGAGCGGTGCCGCGGGGCTGCAGCCTGGCCCGCCCATTCCCTCAGCCCTTGGCAGCCCCGCCGCCCTCCAGGCCTCACCTGAGTTCCGCGCCGGGAGAGACTCCTGGGCCGGCCATGACGTCACAGGACTGTGACGCGCCCAGGAGCCCCGCCCCTCGCGTCCCGAGCCGGGGACCCAGGGGCTCTGCGCCGTGACGTCATGAGCCCGGGCGGGCAGGTTGTGCGTCGGCCCAATGGGAGCAGTGCGCCGGCCTCCCCTTTAAGGAATGTTGTGACCTGACGTCACCGGGCGAGTTACCTCCCGCAGCCGCCGCCGCCGCGCTCAGCGCGAGCCCCGGAGCCCTTCAGCGTGAGGCACGGAGCCCCCGGAGCCCCCAAACCGCAGCCACATCCCCACGTCCCAGAGCCCCGGCCTGCGCGCCCAACCGGGCCCGCGCGATGCCCTCAGACCGGCCTTTCAAGCAGCGGCGGAGCTTCGGTGAGGCCCCGCGGGCAAGCTGTGAGCTCGGAGCAGGGGTACGCGGGGGCCCGGCCGACCCCGACTACCGCGGGTGACGTCAGTCCTGTGACGTCAGGCCCCAGCCGGACCCTCGGGATGGGAGGCTGACTCCAGCCTGGGCGGAGGCCGCCCACCTCCCCACCATGATAGGTGCTAGGGGCTGTGGGGCCTGCCGGCCCCGGGGGCGGGGGCTGGAGCTGGGGCGGGGCCGGGGGCCGCCCCTTGGGGACAGGCGGGGCGGAGACACGGGGAGGACCTGGGCCCGGCTCAGCCCGGCCTCAAGGTCCGGCCGCCATCCGCAGCCGACCGCTGTAAGGAGGTACAGCAGATCCGCGACCAGCACCCCAGCAAGATCCCGGTGAGTCCGGTGCCCCCAGCCCTGCCCCGCCCTGGCCGCGCCTCGCGCGCCCCCGACACGAACCCCTGCCCGCCTGCCCCGCTCCCAGGTGATCATCGAGCGCTACAAGGGTGAGAAGCAGCTGCCCGTCCTGGACAAGACCAAGTTCCTGGTCCCGGACCATGTCAACATGAGCGAGTTGGTCAAGATCATCCGGTGCGTGGGCAGCCGCCGCCAGGAGGCAGCTTGGGTCTGGCGGGGAGCCGGGTTCCCGCCGAGAGGAGGTGGGAGTGGGGTCAGTAGTGATGGGACCAGGCGGTGGGCCCCTGTTCTGGCGCGGCTGGAAAGGTCAAGGTCGGGGCTGCAGTTGGAGTCGGGTCAGAGGTGAGAGCTGGGGTGAGGATGGATGTGAAAGGCTGGGAATCATTCTGGGGGTCAGGGCTGTGCCTGCCCTGCAGCCACGTCCCTCACAGCCGCACACCCTCCCGCCTGCCTCAGGCGCCGCCTGCAGCTGAACCCCACTCAGGCCTTCTTCCTGCTGGTGAGCCAGCACAGCATGGTGAGCGTGTCCACGCCCATCGCGGACATCTACGAGCAGGAGAAAGATGAGGACGGCTTCCTCTACATGGTCTACGCCTCCCAGGAAACCTTCGGCTTCTGAGCCAGCAGTAGGGGGGTCGGCCTGGGAGTGGGGGGAAGCCCGGTCAGGCCCTGCCCAGAGAACCCCTGGTTCCTGAACTGAGCTGCCTCTGCTTGGGGGTGGGCTGGGCAGGGATGTGGCCCCGTAGTCAGAGGGCACCAACCCACCTCCTCTGCCCCTAAGTGGTTTTGTTAGGGTTGCCCCTCTGGGTGCTGGCTGGGATGGGGGAAGGTGGGAAGCATCCCCCCACACTCCTGCTGTGTGGTTCATCTTTTTTTTTAGGCCCCTGCCTGCCCCTCACCCACCCGAGGCTCTGCCCACTACCTGGACCTGCCCACCCCTGAAAGACTGGCCCCCCCACCCCTCCATCTCCACATGGTGTATGGATCTGTGGTCATTGTCCCTCTGCAGAATAAAGATTGCTCAGGCCTGCCTGGCCCTATGCCTCCAGCTGCTTGCTTGGGAGTGGGGAGGGTGCTGGTGGGGCTGTCCGAACCGTCCCTGGGCTCTGACATACCAGAAACACACACCTGTGTGTACTTTCCAGAACATCAGGGGCCACCCCCAGGAGTGCAATGCAGATATGGGCCCAGGGTAGGTTTCGTAACAAAAAACATTTATTAAGTAGCCACAACCTAACAAGCCCTGCTCACCTGCCTTTTCCAGAGCTCCCAGTTCCTCCCCAGAGGTCTTGCAGTCAGCCATGGGTCCCTTTTGATACCAGAGACTTGTGACCCTGGACTTGAACCTCTTCTGCCCAAGGACTCGCCTGCTGGCAACTCTGGCTGGAGGGCCTGGCCCAGTTTCCCGCCCCTGAGGTCCATGCAGCCCTGTGCCAGCCAGGCCTACTTGAGCACAAGCATGGCCTCCGTGCCGTCCTTGGCCGTCAAATAGAGGCCGTGTGTGAGGTAGTACTCCCGCCGCAGGAAGGCATAGAAGTAATCAGAGATGAGCAGGATCTGGGGAGAGAGAGAGAGAGGATGTGAGGTGCTGCAGGGTACCACCCCGTGAACCCAGGACCCGAGAGGCTAGCAGGTGATGGGAGACAGAGCCCCTGCCTGGCCCTGAATCAACAATCACTGGAGAGGCCCTGCGCAGGGCCCCACCTTAGGGCCCGTACTTGACACTGCAAGGTCTGTTGGCCTCTCAGAAGCTGTCCAGACTCCCCGTGCCCCCACCCATGGTCTACACCTCCATCCTAAGCTCTGGCCTCGAATGCCAGCCTGGTGCCTGTGCAACCAGAGGCCTGTGCCCCCTCCTCTGACAGGCACTTCCACCCCAGCCAGGTCCACATCAAACTCACCTTCCCCCTGTCAAACCCACTTCTCCCACTGGGCATCCATGCCCCCATCTTCCATCCAGGTGCCCAGGCCACAAAATTGCCTGAGACGTCTCTCATACAACAAGCCACCATGACCTAAACTCAAATCTACCCTTTCGATACATCCCCACAGTCACTACTCTAGACAGCCACTGTCATCTAAATAGCAAAGCTTGGTCCCTGGGCTCCCTGCTCTCAAACTCACACCCACCCCATTCTCCCTGGCAGCCAGAGGGAGCTTTTCAAAACCCACATCTGGTCTTGTTACTTCCAGCCTTCAAATCCTCCAAAGGCTTCCCATGCCTTAGGGCAAAGCTCAAACTCCCTGGCGCTCTGAGACCTTGCCCAGGTCCCTGCCCACCCTCTTCCGGCTCCACCTAATCCCATTGCAGGATCTTTACTGTTTCTTCTGCCTGGAATGTTCTCTGCCCGTCCATCTAGTTGACAGCTGCTTACCCTTCAGGTCTCAGGAAGGATCACTTGCCCCCCTCCAGATTAGTTCTTAGCCCCACTAATCTCTATTCAGTAATACAGACTCATCCAAAGTACAATTTTCCATTCAGCTGACAGCCTGACTGTGCCTCCTCCCCTGGGCCTCCATCAGGGTAGGGTCTTTGAGTGGTTCTGTCTCTATGCCATAGTGACAGAACCACATAGATACCACTATGGTATCTCCGTGCCCAGCTCAGTTTGTCCCATTCTGGGCCATACACAGAATCAAAGGGGGCCTAGGAGCTCAGCTCCACTGTCTCTTCAAGGACAATTTGCCAAGGGCCCTACACACCAGACCTGGAGTCTACAATCCCAATCAGCCCAAGCTGCTCAAGACCTCTGGTACCTGAAGCAGGGTGGGCAGGGCCCAGCCCCAGAGAAGGATGAGGGGATGGGGGCTCACACTGCAAACACCACAGCTTTCAGGCACCTGGAGGCCTCTCAGAGGATTGACACCAACCACCTCTTGGCACAGATGGGGAGAATGAGGCAGAGAGAGAACCCTTGGCTATGGTCTTGGGGCAAGACAGAGGTTGAGCTAAGCCTGGGATCTAGACCTCCAGACCCCAGCACCCTGTCCTGGGCAGCTTCTCACTCACCTAAAGGTAACACAATAGCAGCTAAGGAGAGATCAGAGGCATCTGGAGGAGTTCAGGAAGGTGTCCTGTCACCAGCAGCTCTGATGGCCTCAGGATAAGTACCTCCCGTTCTATCACCACAGAAGCCCATCTGGAAGGTTTAACAATCCTCATCTTAAACAGATGGGGAAACTGAGGCTCAAAGGGTTCAATGACTGGCCTAAGGCCAACCTGGAGCACTGGACCAATGGCCATGGACCCAGCAAGGTGGTCTGCCTGGGGCCCAGTTCACTGATGGGCACGAGATTGGCCACAGTGTCAGCAAAGCAGACAGAGCTCAGGCAGCCCCTGAGGCCCTGCCCCCAGCTGTCCAGCTGGCAGTTCCAGGCTGGCACATTGGGAGGCAGCGATCACAGCAAAGGCTGACCTCCTACCCTGCGGCCCTTCTCACCCAGGCCCGAGATGCCATCTGGGCAGGAGGAGCCTGAAGCAGGAGCTGAGCTCAGAGGCTGATCCCTGAACCAGGTCAGATGAGGGACAGGTGCAGTCACATCCACAACCAATCAAAATGGGGCAACTCCATGTCACACAACAATCATCTGGACAAGAAGGAAGAAAAATATTAGGTTATTAGGTTGGACCATATGAAACTGCCATGTTTGCAGATAAAAAAAATGGTTGAATGCTGGTAATTTCATATGATCCAACCTAATATAAAATGGAAAAAAGTATACATGGAAAAGTAAGCACATTGTTGAAGCACCAGAAGAAATAATGGTAAGATTTTAGGTGGCTCTTCTTTTCCCCTATAAGCCTTTACTTCGTAAGCTACATACATGTGTTCTGTTGATAAAAAACAAAACTTCGGCAGGGCACAGTGGCTCATGCCTGTAATCCCAGCACTTTGGGAGGCTGAGGCAGGTGGGAGTTCGAGACCAGTCTGACCAACATGGAGAAACCCCATCTCTACTAAAAATACAAAATTAGGATGGGCATGGTGGTTTACACTGTGATCCCAGCACTTTGGGAGGCTGAGGCAGGTGGATCACAAGGCCAAGAGATCGAGACCATCCTGGCCAACATGGTGAAAACCGATCTCTTCTAAAAATACAAAAATTAGCTGGGTATGGTGGCATGCACCTATAGTCCCAGCTACTCGGGAGGCTGAAGCAGGAGAATCACTTGAACCTGGAAGGTGGAGGTGGTGGTGAGCCAAGATTGCGCCACTGCACTCAAGCCTGGGCAACAAGAGTGAAACTCTGTCTCTAAAAAAAAAAAAAAAAAGTAAAACTTCAATTAAAAACAAATCAGCCAATAAAGGAATGAATCAATATATCAATAGGGGGGAAGAGATAAATCTTCTTTCCAGAAGAACTCCAAACATTGTAGGCAGATATGCTCCCCTCCCACAGAAGGAGCTTACTTCTCGTCCACTCCACATCCCCTAAGCCCAGGGTGGTCTAGACTTGGTCACTCACTTCCTGCTGAGGAGCAGGGAAAGGGAAAAGAGTAACTTTACAGTGGAGAAACCTGGCCGTCGCTATCTTAACCACGTGTTGGAGGTTGACATCAGCATGAAATCACATGGCTAGCAGGTGCCCCAACAGATGTGATGAGAAGGGCACTTCACCTGGAGTATTCTTTCTAAAAACCCACAACCCCGGGATAATCCTAAGAAAAGCACCAGAAAAACCTAAACTCGGGGACAGTCTACGAGATGCCTGGCCAGTGCTCCTCAACTGTCAAGGTCATGACAAGTCAGGAAAGACTAAGACGCAAAGCAGAGGACATTGAGAAGATGTGACCTTAAATGTAACGTGGACCCTTGGATGGGGTCCTGGCAGAGAAAGAGGATGTGAGTAGAAAGACAGGAAATCCAAATCAAGTCTAGTGTTTCAGACTAACAGTAACACAACAGTTTCTTAGTTTGACAAACACATCATGGTAACATAAATGTTAACAATTTAGGCAGCTGGGTGGGGGCTTACAGGAGCTCTGTTCTATCCCTGCAACTTTTCTGTAAATCTAAAGTGATTCTAAAATGAAAAGTTTATTTTAAAAAAGCAATTAACTAGATGGGAATGGTGGCTTGTGCTCGTAATCCCAGCTACTTGGGAAGCTGAGGCAAGGGGATTGCTTAAGCCCAGAAGGTTGAGACCAACCTGGACAACATAGCAAAACCCCATCTCTTATTTTATTTTTTGAGATGGAGTCTCACTCTGTCACCAGGCTGGAGTGCAGTGGTGATCTCGGCTCACTGCAACCTGTCTCCTGGGTTCAAGTGATTCTCCTGCCTCAGCCGCCCAAGTAGCTGGAACTACAGGCGCACGCCACCCTGCCCAGCTAATATTTTTTTTTTGTATTTTTAATAGAGATGGGGTTTCACCTTGTTGGCCAGGATGGTCTCGATCTCTTGACCTTGTGATCTGCCCGCCTTGGCCTCCCAAAGTGCTGGGATTACAGGCGTGAGCCACTGTACCTGGCTGACCCCATCTCTTAAAACAGGAAAAAAATTAACAGCAATGAACCATTGTTATATGTAACAAACTCAAAATATTTTGCTGAGTGAAAGAGGGCTTTGGCAAATGTACATATAAGATTTGCAGTTTTCCCTGCAATTTTACATAAGAAAAATGTAAATAAATATTGAACTCTAGTTAATGATGCACATGCTGAAATATTTAGCAGGAAATGTACTGATGTCTGCATTTCAATTTGAAATACACTAAAAAAAATAAGATGGACTGAGGGATGGATGCTGTGTGGAACAAGTACAGGAGGATATGAATGGTGGACTCCTGGTGGTGGGTATGTATATGGGTGTCCAAGGCTAAGACTGTGAACTGTGCTGTGTGTGTGGAAATCTGCAGGATACAGGGGGTGGCAGGAAGAGCCCTGTGAGTGGCTTGGGCACACAGCCGTGAGTGTCATCAGTCCTGAGTGGGCACCTTGCCACCAGGGAGAGGACACCAGGCTGGCCCAGAGGCCTGGCCTTTTCAGAGGGAAGCCTATAGCCGGGACCTCTTCTGACCTTGGGGCTTTCCATC